AAAGGTAGCACTTTAATTTAAATGTAGCACCTGAATTTAAATGTAGCACCTGGATTTAAATGTAGCACCTGAGTTTAAATGTAGAACCTGAATTTAAATGTAGCACCTGAGTTTAAAGGTAGCTCATTAATTTAAATGTAGCACCTGAAATTAATTGTAGCACCTGAGTTTAAATGTAGCACCTGAATATAAATGTAGCACCTGAGTTTAAATGTAGCACCTGAATTTAAATGTAGCAACTGAATTTAAATGTAGCAACTGAATTTAAATGTAGCACCTGAATTTAAATGTAGCACCTGAATTTGAATGTAACACCTGAATTTAAATGTAGCACCTGAATTTGAATGTTGCATCTAAATTTAAATGTAGCGCCTGAATGTAAATATTGCACCTGAATTTAGATGTTGCACCCGAATTTAATTGTTGCACTCGAATTTAAAGTACTTGAATTGCTGTTTGTATTTAGGTGTTTTTCCTTAACATAACGATGTGCGTGAGTCGTATTTGTATTGAGCTCATACCCACATGGTCCCGCTACGCACCATTCTATAAATAGAATACGGACCCGTTACATTCTATAAATAAGACATGGACCATATCCCATCCTATAAATAGCGCGAGTTTCAGTGATTTGTGGAGATATGTGTAGTTTACGCGATCAGCATACACCTGAAGTGACTGCAGTGCACACCATGCATCTCAAGTGACTACAGTACACACCATGCATCTCATATGACTACAGTACATACCATGCATCTCTTATGACTACAGTACACATCATGCATCTCAAGTGACTACAGTACACACCATGCATCTCAAGTGACTGCAGTACACACCATGCATCTCAAGTGACTACAGTACACACCATGCATCTCATATGACTACAGTACACACCATGCATCTCAAGTGACTACAGTACACACCATGCATCTCATATGACTACAGTACACACCATGCATCTCAAGTGACTACAGTACACACCATGCATCTCATATGACTACAGTACACACCATGCATCTCATAAGACTACAGTACACACCATGCATCTCATATGACTACAGTACACACCATGCATCTCAAGTGTGTGAATTGTGTGTACCCTCGTTCCTTATGCAATGCAGAGTAGTACGCCATCATACATCCATTCCACGTTACCGTGTGATGTGCCTCTGTACGTACACGTACGCTCATCTCAAGACATGTCTGCAGAGACACACACAGTTTGTTACTTGATATAGTACATGCCAATGTTTACTTCGGGTTAAAGGTGTTCGCGTCAGTGGTTATACGGATGGGGATAACATGAGAATATATCGCCGTTGAGTCTATGCCCCATCTCATATATATTGTTTGGGTACAAATGCTGGCTATCATCGGTGTTCTCATATATATGTTTTTTAATCGTTAGTGTTCTAATGTATACACACAGTTGGTGGTTTCATATATATATTGATCATTGGTGTTCTAATATTTCTACACAATTGGTGTTCTATTGTTTACATACATTGGTGTTCTAATGTTTCCACACAGTTGGTGTTTTCATATATATATTAATCATTGATGTTCTAATGTTTACAAACAGTTGGTGTTCTAGTTTTTAAAGACAATTGGTATTGCCATATATATATTAATCATTGGTGTTTTAATGTTTACATACAATTGGTGTTTTCATATATATATTAATCATTGGTGTTCTAATGTTTACACACAGATGGTGTTCTCATATTCACATACATTTGGTGTTCTGTTCTGCACATAGGAGCTGATTGCAGAGAGACTGCCGGCGCTGACAGAGCACTTTAAAGCCAATGACGTGGACATTGGACCTCTCATCACACCATGGCTACTCACCGTGTTTGTTATTGACACACGTACACATGTATGTGACAGAGTTCGGTACACCTTTGTACTTATGTGCCGGGTGATCAACAGTGTGTGCATACGTGTATATATGTACAGGTAGTACTGTGTGGGCAATGCTCTCTAGTAGTGTTGAAGGGAGTGCTGCGGTATGTAGACTACGGCGCAGCTGTGTATTCTGGTTTGGGGTTCTAGAATTTGTGGGTTGTTAGAGTTTAGGGTTTGGTTGTCAGGGTTTTAGGGTACATGCCTGTTCTCTCGTATGGGCCGTGAGTGACTGCCCCCTTGTCCCTGACTTCGCAGGTGATGTTTCGCATATGGGACGCGTTCTTGCTGGAGGGCGTGAAAGTGCTGATCCGAGTGGTACTTGCCATCTTCACTATTCACGAGGTGTGTGTATGTCGCTGGTAAATATGCTTGTGGATCTAGTTATAGGTGCAGGTGCACAAGTAGATAGCACTACCCCAGCCATAAGCGTACATGTGTATGTGCTGGCTGTTTAAATTCATATAGATGGTGTAGGTGTGTATTTATATTTGAAGGGCATGTGGCATGTATATTCGCGGATGTAGTTATACGTTCAGGTGCATCAGTAGATAGCGCTACCCCAGCCATAAACGTACATGTGTATGTGCTGGCTGTTTAGATTCATCTGAAATGGTGTAGGTGGGTGTGTATTTATATTTGAAGGGCTTGTGGCATGTATATTCGCGGAAGTAGTTATACGTTCAGGTGCATTAGTAGGGGCCGCTCCCGAAGCCATAGGTGACATACATGTGTACGTGCGAGCTGTCCCAAACCATCTGAAATGGGGTTAGGTGTGTATTTGTGGGGCAGTTCTTGGTTACATGTGATTCATCACAAATGGCACAGAATAAGTACCTGGGGAAAACTGAACACTTCAAGTCCATTTCACTATTACCGTGCGTATAAATGTAAATAGCAAACAGCACCACAAATCACCTGCCAGACCATTCATACATGTTCAGACTATCAATGTGTGCATCACAACAGCAGCACCACAAATCACCTGCCATTGGCACTATAGATAGATCATTTATACATGTTCAGACTATCAATGTGTACAACACAACAGCAAACAGCACCACAAATCACCTGCCATGAGCACTATAGACAGACCATTCATAAATGTTCAACTATCAGTGCTATCAATGTGTATATAATACTGGAGTGATTATCCCGTTCATATCGACGTGACCCACCCGTTACAACTACGCAGGTACCTTCAGCACCACACCCACCAAACTCGCGGCTGTAGGTGGTATGCACAGTTTTATATTGTTTTCCGATCTGTCTACACATAGCCCGTTGAGGCAGCAACAGACGCACTTGGGTGTGTAGTGAGTAGGTAGAGCTACTTAACTCATATACATGTATGTCACGTTCACTGACATGCCGATGACATTCCTCCCCTCATGGTTGCTTAGCAACACCTGCTGACTGTCACAGGCAGCGACGACCTCTTTGTCAGGATCAAGGTAGGACGCACCCTTCTGACTTTCAATTTCAATTGTGTATACGAGACCACTTATGTGGTTCATGGATCCGCCCTACGGCTATATATGTTTTAGGGTTCTAGGGTTTTACACGGATGTATGAGTTCCATGCTGGCTTTACTCTTCGTGTCATCATGCTATTGACATATGCACTGCGAAAGCTCAGTCAGGTTGTTGTCACACTGAGTGTCTTTAAAAAGGACAGTGGATTATGTATACTATGTATCCAAGTACGTGCATTGATTGTTTATACTGTGTAACCACATACGTGCACGGATTGTTTATACTGTGTAACCACATACGTGCATGGATTGTTTATACTGTGTAATCACATACGTGCATGGATTGTTTATACTGTGTAACCACATACGTGTATGGAATGTTTCATACTGTGTTACCACATACGTGCACGGATGGATACTATACCAGGCAACCACATACGTGCATGGATTGTTTATACTGTGTAACAACATAGGTGCATGGAATGTTTATACTTTGTAGCCACATACGTGCATGGATTGTTTAGACTGTGTAACAACATAGGTGCATGGAATGTTTATACTGTGTAACCACATACGTGCATGTATTGCTTATACTGTGTAACCACATACGTGCATGGATGGATATTATACAATGCAACCAGGTACGTGTATGGATGGATACTTGTTCTAACTATTCTTGTTTGTCTGCAAATCCCGTTCTTAGCAATTGCCAGGCGAAACAACAGATGGAGATGAGCTCATGCAGGTATGTAGGTATACATAGAATCCGTGCTTTGACTAAGTATAAAAAATACAAAGTACATTCATGCAGGTATGTGGGTCCACCTAGAAAACATGCATGGACTGAGTACACACTCATCATATATGTCGGTGTACTGTCTGGTTTGGTGTATTGCTAATGATGATTAAACGGCAATTATTCAATGCCAAGTATGTGCATAGTTTGATAGCATGTGCATGGTTTCACAGTATATACATAGTTTCATAATGTGTTTAGTTTCATTGTTATGTGCATAGTTTCATGGTATATGCATAGTGTCTTAAAAGGTGTAAAAGTCCAAAGTGTGTGCTTAGTTTCTAGCTGTATCTATAGTATAATAAAACGTGTATAGCTCCTTAGTATATGCATAGTTTCATAATATGTGTATAGTCTCACAGCATGTGCATGGTTTCTTAGTATATGCATGGTTTGTATGCATTCGACTAGCTACCATATGCTTTAATCATAAGGTACAAAACATAGAGCTGATATCTCCAAGTTGTGATTGCATAGCAACGCGACACTTTGACCATAGTCGGTGACATACAAGGGACTTTTTTCTGGTGACGTCAAGGGTGAATAAGCGTTTATTGAGACCACGTTCTGGTTACATCAAGGGTGAATTGACATTTAACTTTTATCTCTGCTTGCAGGTCGCATTCGGACTCAAGAAGTTCAAATGGCAACATATCCAACAGAAAAGGATAACTCTGTTTCAGCAGTGGTCACAATAAACACATACACGTACACATCCCTTTAGTCGCACTAATTCCAGCGTCTGTCTGTTTAAACTTTCACCCCCGTGCGTTGCAGTCTGTAGCCTGCGCACAGTTGCGTTGACACGCAGATACGCCCTGAATACTCTACTATTAGTCTGTGTTGCCTTGACACGCAGATACG